CTTGCCGGGCCTGTTTCCTGACCTGATTTACCTTGAAGGCTGGCAGATTTAGATACAAACAACTGAGGGTGAAAAACCTAAGAGGGAGGACACGGATTACACTTCAGATACGTGCAATGCGCAGAAGACTTTCTTGCTGCTGATAAAGGAGAAGATTTGTAGTTCAGGGCTGAAGAGGTTTTTTCTTCTTCTTGTAGACATTTCATTACCCAACTAGGTAACATCATCAGTGCTTCAGGATGATGATGTAGCACTGATGACATTACCCGAATGGGCAATGAAACGTCTGCAAGAAAACAACCCAGCTCAGAGAGCACCAAGGCCCCTCACTTTCTCGTTTATTACGACGGTTTCGCAGATTACACAGGGCCGTTAAATGTGGCCCGGACCACAATTTCAGGCTGCAGACGGGAAGACCCAACATCCACAAACAGGCAGCCCACACTTTCACCTAAGGATGACATCCTGAATGTCAGCAAAACACCGCCCTCTCCCTAGAAAGACCCAGATATTCAACAGCACACCATGTTGACACTAATAGTTAATATTAACCGCTCTGATAAATGCAGTCAACATACTGTACAAGAGGCCAGCCTGTCCTCCGTTGCATTTACGATGTTTTTTCACAATAAAAATCAACAGTTACACGATTGATTACAAGGGTTCGTTTGCAGCCCTCTTGTTGGTGGGGGGAAAGAGGAGGAACATTTATCTCTGGGTCTCTCTTGTGATATAGATCGGGCCTAAGAAGCAACCTGGAATTAAGGAGAAACTTCCTGAGAGTGTGAGGACAATCAACCAGTGAAACATGCTTGCCCCCAGAAATCGTGGGCGCTCCATCACTGGAGATTTTTAAGAAGAGACTGGACATTCACCTATCTGAGATGGTGTAGGTTTTCCTGCTTGAGCAGGGGGTTGGACTAGAAGACCTCCAAGGTCCCTTTCTTCTATTCTGTTCTGTTCTGTTCTGTTCTGTTGTTCTATTCTATTCTATTCTATTCTATTCTATTCTATTCTATTCTATTCTATTCTATTCTATTCTATTCTCCATACAGTATTCTATTCTATTTTGTATTCTATTCTATATTCTATGTTCCATATTCTCTATTCTATTCTATTCTATTCTATTCTATTCTATTCTATTCCTATTCTATTCTTCTACTCTACTCTACTCTACTCTACTCTACTCTACTCTACTCTACTCTACTCTACTCTAATTCTATTCCTTAAACCTGTGTCTCTCTCCATGCCAACAACTTTAAGATGTGTGGACTTCAACTTCCAGAATATTGGCAAATATCTGTAGCTCGGGGGTAGGATGAAGGTGGAGGTTCGTTCTCCGAGCTTGTGGGCTGGTTTCTGAACGTTTCATTACCAGGCTAGTTAACATCTTCCGCAAAGTTTAGGGGATGTCAGTGTTCCTCTGTTTGTAAGGGCTTCAGGTGTGGGTGTGTCAATTGAGGGTCTTGTGATGGGTCAAGTGTGAGTCAAGCCTCTCATTGATGACTCACACCTGAGCCATCACAAGACCCTCACTTGACACATCCACACCTGAACCCCTTAGGAACAATGACACTGACATCCCCGCCGAAACTCCGCTGAAGATGCTACCTAGCCTGGTACCAAAAGGTTCAAAAACCAACCCACAAGCTCAGAGAATGCACCTTCCCTTCATAAAGGAGAGTCTTTAAGGAAGGGACTTAAATGGTCAGTCCTCAAAATCCGATAAGACAATTTCTGGTAAGATACCCCCCTCCCCCCAAGGTCCCTTCCAACTCAAGTTATCTGTTATAGGGTCAGGCACACAATCCACAGAGCGCTTCACCGTAATAAGGAACGGTTGCTGGAATTGGGTATGTCTAGTTTAATGAAGAGAAGGACGAGGGGGATATGATAGCCATGTTCCAATATCTCAGGGGCTCTTACAAAGATGAGGGAGTCAAGCTATTCTCCAAGGCACCTGAAGGCAGGACAAGAAGCAACGGATGGAAACTAATCAAGGAGAGAAGCAACCTAGAACTAAGGAGAAACTTCCTGACAGTTAGAACAATTAACCAGTGGAACAACCTGCCTCCAGAAGCAATGAATGCTCCAACATTGGAAGTTTTTAAGAAGAGACTGGACAGCCATTTGTCTGAAATGATATAGGGTTTCCTGCCTGAGCAGGGGGTTGGACTAGATCCGTGGTGGCTAATCTATGGCACGCATGCTACAGGTGGCACGCAGAGCCCTCTCTGTGGGCACACGCGCTGTCACCCCAGTCCTAGGCCTTCAGGTGGGTTTTATAAAACCTTTTCACCACCGTGTGCAAAAAAAAAAAAAGGTTCAATCAATCAATTTCAACTTCTCGTGGGAAAAAAAAGATCTCACAAAGTTGGAATTATTGATTGAACCCAGTCCCACCCACTCTGCCATTTAGTCCCACCCAGTCTGCCATTACCACTGCAGCCATGCCCACCCAATGGGCCACACCNAAGCGAAGGTTGGAGACTGGACGATAGTTGGCCAATACATCTGGGTTCAGGGAAGGCTTCTTAAGGAGGGGCCTCACCACCGCCTCCTTAAGGGCCGTGGGGAAGACACCCTCCCACAGAGAAGCGTTTATAATTCCCTGAAGCCAGGCTCGTGTACCCTCCCGAGCCGCCAGTACCAGCCAGGAGGGACACGGATCCAATGTTGTTAGAACGAGATAAGCTGAGGAATAAATTGGGAATGGGGAGGGGGAAGGCAGAGCTCCCCCCCCCGCAAATATAGCGCTCGTTTAGTGACCACAATTGGGATTGGCAACTCGGTTAAGTGAAGTGGTCTCTAAATGAAACCGCGACGGTGTTTAAGATCTTACTTCAGTCTTTCTTTGGCTTTACAGACCTGTGAAGGACCCTAACTGTGAGGACTCGTCGTAAAGTTACTTTCCCGTCACTGTTGCCAAATAAGGATGAGCTGTAGGCCGCGTTGCGTGCAGGAAAGATATAAAATGCAAATGCAATAAATAAAAGGCACTAACCTAGTAGGCAAATATAAACCAGTCTTAAAACTTCCAAATATCTGCACCTGGGGGAAAAGAAAATCCAAACACACAAATTAAAACTTTTCACCATAAGCATAAAGAATCGGCAGCAATGCAGATTGGAGATCATCCAGTATATAGGATTAATCTAGAGATCAAGCTAAGCCATAAGCAAGCAGGCATTGAATATGATGTCTGAATGTATGTTTCTGGAGAAACCGAAGAACGAAGCCATTGCCTTTTTTAAGTTTATCCATGGCTTCACTTAATTATCTACTTGCTGTAGGACAGCAGTAGGCAACCTTGGCTCTTTTATGACTCATGGACTTCAATTCCCAGAGTTCCTGAGCCAGCCATGCTGAGGGGAAAGGGAGAGGTTTCCAAGCTGAGCCATGCTGGCTCAGGAATTCTGGGAGTTGAAGTCCACAAGTCATGAAGGGGCCATAGTTCCCCCATGCTGGCTGAGGAATTCTGGGAGTTGAAGTCCACAAGTCATGAAGGGGCCATAGTTCTCCCATGCTGACTGAGGAATTCTGGGAGTTGAAGTCCACGAGTCATAAAAGAGCCAAGGTTGCCTACCCCTGCGGTAGGAGAACAAAGTCAGACATTCTGCAGAGTCTTCGCAGCTGCGTCCACTCATGGATATGTTTGCTCAAACAGATCTGGTTAGCAGACAGCTTTCTAAGTTTGCAGACAACCGTGATCATTGCAGCAGCTTTCAGAAATCCTAGCAAAATCTCTGGCTACTACTTCTCTGAAGCTCCTTAATCTCTTATCTTGTGATGGACCCGGGTCAAAATCCCTGGGACAAGCACCCTCCAGATGATGCTTAAGAATCATTTTCAGATTTGCATATCCCACCAAGGCAATAGTAATAGCACTTAGATTTATATACCGCTTTACAGCCCTCTCTAAGTGATTTACAGAGTCAGCCTATGGCCCCAACTATCCGGGTCCTCATTTTACCGACCTGGGAAGGACGGAAGGCTGAGTCAACCTTGAGCAAGTCAGGATCGAACTCCTGGCAGTGGGCAGAGTTAGCCTGCAATACTGCATTCTAAGCACTGGGAAGGAAGGAAGGAAGGAAGGAAGGAAGGAAGGAAGGAAGGAAGGAAGGAAGGAAGGAAGGAAGGAAGGAAGGAAGGACAATAGCACTTAGACTGTTGCATGCTAGACTGGGGCATGTTGCCCCCAGCAATCTGGGTCCTCATTTTACCGACCTCGGAAGGATGGAAAGCTGAGTCAACCTTGAACCGATGAGAATCGAACTGCTGGCAGTCGGCAGAATTAGCCTGCAATAGACTGCATTCTAACAACTGCGCCACCATGGCTCAATAATCACAGTGAAGGCCTATTCAAGAAAAGCTTCACACTGATGGGAACTGCATGCTGTTCATCCTTTTAAACAAGGGCCTGGCTTTCTTCTTTAGGAGTGATCTAAGTCGCTTCCTTCCTTTGGCAGCTGTGTTATCCCGATTCCAGGGTAATTAAAAGCCTCTCCCAATCGCCCTAATGGTGAAGCCCGGTTGATGCCAAGAACGGCTCTCACTTACTAGGAATGTTTGTGTCTAAGCACATTCCCTGGAGTAACACAGAAATGACACAATTGCTGGCTTCTATAAATAGTTTAAGAAAAGCATGCT